ACCCCTCTGCTGGGAGGAAAGGCTGGGAGAGCTGGGGCTGCTCAGCCTGGGGAAGAGAAGGCTGCAGGGAGACCTTAGAGCAGCTGCCGGTGCCTGGAGGGGTCTATAGGAAAGATGGGTAAAATCTTTTTGGCAGGGCTTGTTGCAATAGGACAAGGAGCAATGGTTTTAAACTAAGGGAGGGTAGATTTAGGCTGGATATAATGAAGAAAATTTGTACAATGAGGGTGGTGAGGCACTGGCACAGGTTGCCCGGAGAGGTGGTAGATGCCCCATCCCTGGAAATGTTCAAGGTCAGGCTGGATGGGGCTCTGAGCAACCTGATCCAGTTGAAGATGTCCCTGCTCACAGCAGGGGGGTTGGGCCAGATGGCCTCTAAAGGTGCCTTCCAACCCAAAGCATTCTATGAAGTCTGCAGACATCGCGCCTTTAGATGGCCCTCACCTTAAGGCAAAACTAAAAGGAGCTAGGCAGGTCTAAGTTAATTTCTCATGTGTTTGTGGTTATAAAGCACGTTGAGATCCATGCTTTAAATGAAATAAATTATTTGAACTACCGGTAAAAAAATGCATATAAATATACATACGTACAATGCTATATTATATAAATATGTATATATATGAGACGCTCCTAGTTTAGAATACTACATAACACTTTTCTTTTTGAAAATTAGCGATGTAAAGTGTATTAAAACCATCATTTTCTATTCTATGCCCCTTTTGGCACTTTGGACTCGGCAGTGAGCTTGTGCAAAGAAGGACGTCACTAGGGCCTTGGGAAGGGTGCCCACAGATAGAAGTGGTGGCGGTCAGGGGGTCATCTCGTGCTTTCGCTTGAGCTTTGCTACCTGTTTACTTGACAGTGACTTTGGCAGGGTAGAGGATAAACACAGTGAGAAATGTGGACTGTGCTGTTCTCTCTCCTCGCCTGAAGGCTAAATACAGCTGCTTTTTAAACTATGTGTTAATGACATGCCTGTAAAGCTGTTTTCTTCAACAGCTAAAGCAGCAAGTCCTGACGTTCTCCTAGCAGGAGCACCGCGTTTCAGAAAAGGGTGGCTACAGAGGGGATTGACTTTGCACGTGCCTGGGTTAGGTTGGTTCTGTCCGGAGACTGTTGTGTCCCTGTCTCTGTATTTAATTCCCAGCTATTCCTGCCCAAAGCACTATGCTTTTTGGTGGCATGTTCTATGGAAACTACAGGAGACTTTGATAAGAAATTCCTGCAGTGGTAAAACTTGCTGGGAAGGCCATCTGTAAAAACCATGGAGGTTGGCTACGTGGAATGCCAGCTGCATGATGCACTCACCTGGGTTGCTCCGCTGATGCAGGGGGAAAGCGTGTGGCTCTACAACATCTTGGTATCTGGCAGATAAAAAAAATTCAACCTCTTTTTTTTGTAGCCCGTTACTTAATTTCTTGCTCTTTAGAACATTCTATGCCTGTAAATCCACATGCAAAGGTGGTGCTGAGATCCTGGGATGGCCTGAGCTTTGCCCAGAAGTGTGGGACTGCCCCACACCAGGAGATCTGCCTACGCACCGGAAAGAACTTCTGAAGGCACAATTAAAGCAGGTTTATTAGACTGTAGAGCAACCGAGTTGTGAGACGGCAGGCTGTGCTGCTGACGTGGAGCTGGCTGGAGAGGGCAGTCACGGATCTGGGAATGGGTTGGCGCTTGGACTTGATCTTAGAGGTCTTTTCCAACCTTAATGATTCTTTGAAGGAAGGGGGCTGGTGGCCACCAAGAGGAGGAGAGCGATGGGGTCTCAGCCGTGGGGTATGCGACCCCCAGCTGGGACCCTTCCCCTTGCTGCTGCCCCTCGGGGAGTGACGCACAGTTCTGCTGCTCACGCATCTCGGTGGACATTTGCTGTGCTAGATGGGCTTTGGTGGCCAAAAGCGGCCAGGTGATGTCAGAGACGAGGTCGTGATATCGTTCCTGCCACACTGTGTCATCTTAGGCAGAGGAGGGGTAGCTGGCTTACTCTTCTTTCCTTTTTTTACCAACAATAATTGGTTTACCTTTTTTATTAACATTAAGTGATATTCCTCCTGGCCTGGGTAGACCATGGCCACAAAACCAGCGAGCGCAGCATGTGGCCCACTCGAAGGGGCCTGTCTTCATGCGTGACAGCAGCCCTGCTGGCTGCCAGCCCTGGTGACCCAGGTAGCTCTGCCAGCCCTGGGCATCTCCACAGCCTCAGGCTTGGCAGTGAAATAGTTAATGAAGACAGTTCCCTGCTCAGCCTTTTTGTGGGGGTGGACTTTCAGCGGTCCCATTTCTAATCCAGGGCAGTGTCTTTGATCTGACTTTTTAAAAAAGGCTATTTCTCTTGACAGAGAGAGGAGTCTTTGGAGTATTTAAGAAGGTGAATATAGTTCCAGTTTTTTCATAATTTGAAGCCAGAAATCCTGTAGCATCATCCAGTCTGGTCAGCACAAGCCATGAAATATTACCTTGTTTCTCTGAACTGAGCTCAGTAACTTGCACTTAGTTAAAGCATACTATTCAAGGGGCATTTTAACTTTGAAGACGTCAAAAGACAGAGAATCCACTGCTTTCAATGATTAGTCTTTCTTGTGTCTTTTCTTACCTGCTATTAGTATGTATCTAACAACTACTTTTGAGGGAGTCATTTTCCAGAGTCTCGCTGAAAAGCTTGCTCTATCATATTTTGCAAAATGTTTGAATTTATGCCTTCATAATTTGGACCACAACACTGGAAATGTTATTTGTCAGTGAATTGCATTTATTGACAAATATAATCTAAATTAGAAACTACAAATCCCAAACAGTTATGTGAATTATTGAAAAAAA